AAAGATATGGAAAAATTGACATTGTTTTTTTAATAATTAAAAGAAACAAAAAATATTTTAAATTTTTTATTCAATTTCGATTAAAACCCCAGTTCTCATCAATTTCAAGCGAGTCTTATTTTTTAAAAGAATATCGAATTATAATAATTGATTTATAAATACTTAAATCTCAAATTAAAATTAACCAAATTGATTAATAAGTATTAATGCGTTTTTGTACAAACTTGAAAGCATTTATTATAAGATGTTAGACCAGTTCAATGGTTGTGAAAAGAATTTACGTGGTGTATGTCATATTCAAGAAAATAAATGTCAATGTTTCGTAAAGTAAGATACAACGCAAGGGGATGAATTTTGAAATTTGGTTGCATTCATACCCTACCACAAAACTTCATGCTCCAAAACCACTTTGATCATGGATTTGGATCATTATTTCATGGCTATCATTTAATGACAACTACTAGTTTTCAATTTGACATTTTCAAGTCTCCAGATAAAAAAAAATTCCTGTAATTTTGATTGATAATCTTGCATTTGTTTGTTTCATTCATTCACATAAGAATGTATAGATCATACGAGAATGCTAACTATTTAAGATAATAGAAAAAATGGTTATATCATGTACAAAATCACATGTGATTTTACATTAACGGTGAAAAAAGTGTGCTGATGACCCTATGGCCGCGCCATCAGGCCACGGAGAAAAGTCGTTGAAACAAGTCATGGGGAACCTGACTCACCCGACCCGAACGAGGACAGGGATTCCCCGCTGAAACAGGTCTTGGGGATACCCGATAGACTCAAACCAGAGTTGGGGCTGGGGCCAGGTAGCATATCCACTGACCCGTCCCGTACTAGGTATATAATTTTATTAATATAATTTATATATATATATATATATATATATATATATATAGTTTTCTAAAATTAAGTCTTAACCAGGGACGAGGATCGGAGTTTGACCGGGATTTGACCAGAAAATAAATCAGAGACGAGATGTTAATCCCCGTACCCGTTGGGTTGGGGACCGGGGCAGGGGCCGTTCATGGAAACCGGGGCCAGGGCCAGGGATTAGAACCCCACTTGCCATGCCTATAGTATCTACCAAAGATGTTTAGGGAAATAGCCAATCTTTTTAAGATGTTTCACTTTTTAGTCATTTTCATACCTTATTTCATTTTGTTGCTAATCATTACGCAGAAGACTTACGTATATGCATAAAGATTGGTTTTAACGAATAAAAATGAAATTATGTGTAAAGATCGATTACAAACTAAATTGAGATCTGAAAAAATAAATAACATACGAGATTCACAGAATTAAAAGAAAAACAGGATATGATGCAAATGTTGTGAAGACCACGACAAGAATGGGGCACCATTAAATGCCACTTTTCAAAGCAACCTGCTTCAAAGTTTGACCATAAAACTTGGTTTCACTTTCATATATTTAAGTGCTTTGTTTTAGTTGTTGATAGCATCGAGTGGACGACCATTTTTTCTAACACATTCTACATTCATTTTTTAATGAATAAAAAGCTTATTATTAATTAGTTGATATCTAATAGTTAATTTGAATGATCTTCTTTGGAACCATCGAAATAATTTTTTTTTATGGAGTATCATCCTAATCAAAGAGATAAATAAGACCAAGATATTTAAGTAGGACATCGTCAACCATGTGAGCACGTAGCCATTAGGATCTGCCGGTTCACCAATCATTGATGGTTATAGAATCACTAAGCCTTTTATTCAGATAAATGAAGTATTTCATTTCACTTCTCTCTTATTCAAGAGTATTAAAAATTATTTTTTTTCCTTTCTTTTCATTCCATTTGAGAATACAATTTTTTTTTCATTTTCTTTCTGGATTGAATAACACATTGTTATAAAATCTGTTATATAAAATAAACCTATAAAATATATATTTTCTTTATTTTAGATAATATATATAAAAAATAAAGTTTTATTGAAGGTAAAAGGTATTTTTTGGCTGTTGAGTTGAGGGTAGCTTTGACAGAATTTAAGGGACTGGATTCTCTGAATTTATTTGTTCACATCTCACTTAAATTTTTCACATAAATGCTATGGTAAATTGACTAAATTCAGAGATGTGAATTTTGGTTTGGTTTGATTTGGTACAAATTTTAATTTAAACTTATTTATTATTATATAGAGACCGATAAGCGATTTAAAGCATATGTATATGAAGAGGGTGATGGTTTAACGGTCTAATGCACATATTAATAAGAGACCTAACAATAATACTAAATCCAAGGAAAAGAATGATATCGGTTTCATCGAATTGGGTTGGGTTCAAATGAGCGTAACCAGATTTCAACCCATACCTACAGTTTGAAAATCTTACAACTCAATTAAGTATCAGGAGACTTTGAATTGGGTTGGGTTTGATTGGTCGGGAAATGTGTAATTAAAATAAAATATAAAGATAATTTATTAAGACAATGTAATTTTAAAATAACAAATTTGATTCGACATTTAGGGTTAACAATTACGGTTAATTTGAAGAGTTGGCAAATGATAACTTTAGTTACTTTAAGATAGTTCCGATTGACGATCTCTATTAATTATTGGGTTTGGTGATAAAATATGGACGATTTAGCGAACACCTAATCTGTTAGTTAGGATTGCGATCTCTAAATACGATGAATAGGTCAACTTGGCATGCTCGTTGATAAAAACATATACCTTGTATTTCGTTTTCAGTTTTATGCATATTGATCGAATAATGACACAACTATATTTTGAAACGTAAAATATGCAAATATGATTCATAACTTTATATCTTGACTTGTATCTTTCCTTTCATTTATAGTTGATGAAAACTCGCATCTATTTTTCTAATTATGGAAAGCATTCAGACACCATGTTCTATGCATCTCGATCTCACACATTTCCTCACTATAAACATGGTATATGAAAACAATAATGCATACCGTATTTTAGGAGCATGGTTTAATTGCTTAATACAAATCATTTACTTTGAAGTTGATTTTATCATCCTCTTATATTCTCTTGTATCTCTTATCTCCATAAGTTCATCGTCACTCACCCTTTCTTGATGTCATTTTCACATCGTTCGTCTATGCTCATCGATAAAGTAAAAAAAATTTAATTTCAGTATGCGAGTAGCTTCCAACTCATTTATCTTTTTCTCTTTCTACACCGCTTGCACTTTCTTGTTCTCTTTCTCGAGTCCCCACATACCTGCACACTGAAAATACTCGTAAAAACATGAATATACCCGCAACAAAGTAGTTAGGCATAAAAAAAAAAGCTAGAACCGGATACAAAAACGATGCATTTATGCTATAAAATGAGAACAAAACGTACGAAACAGCAACAAAACGATTCTATAAGAAAATGATTGATTCTTAAGGTTTTCTGAAAAGTTCCATAAAATATCGGACTTGATTTTTTTTATAAAATATTACATTTTTTTGTACATATTCTTTAAAAATTCAATATTAATTATGTTAAGCCATAATTAATTAATCATGATTACAATAATCGGAATCCTTTGCGTCTGAAGCCCCACCATTCGTCCATTCCCTTATACTTTATGCTTCCTAAACTTCCAAACCCTCCTTAACACCATTTTACGTTAACTCCATATTTGACCCCTAAAAAACAAGTGAATTACAAAATGATCCTCCAATGATTCTTCAACTTCACTTTTCATCCCTGGGCATGCGTGTTTTGTACCCTTGATTATTATATCAGTACATTTTTAAAGCACTATTGTTAGTTAATTGATGATGAAATTTAAACATAGATTACTGATCTCAATTTCTATTGTTCTACTTTTTTATATTTTAAATTTGCTTTAAAAAACAAAAATAAATTTAACTAAGGGCTTAATCAAATTAGAATTTAATAATTTATAATAACTATGAGATTCAATATGAGCCAATCATTTAATATAATTAATGTCATTTTTTAAAACAAAGTAAAAAGGCAATTAATAACTTGATATTTTCATTTTGTATTTAATTAAATTATTTAACAACTCTCTCTCCATATTCCCATTTTGCATTACCAAAATCAACGTGTATACAATATGTATTACAATGAGTCGTTACAACGTTGGTGTTGTGAACACATTGTAAATAATGTGTATCACAGTGGGTATCCATGTGTATACAATAAGTATCACAGTATGCGTATTGTATGTATTTTGGTATCATATTGAGGATCATTTATATATATATATATATATATATTGTTTCAACAGCGACAATGGTTTTTAGGTCTTACATCGTGTATTTTATGTCGGAATAAGGTTCATCAGAGAGATGAGAGAGAAGATGTTCAAAATACTTAAAATACCCTTTAATTAATATCTTAAGTCAAGATTATCAAAATTGTTAGTTTTCCTAATTTATCATTTGATTTATGGTTGATATTGTATCTCAGAATTATCATAACTTACTAAGTTATCCATCGAATAACCCCCTATTAAACTATATATCAAAATCTAACATGCGTTTAGCTTATAAATTAAATGGTCGTTAGTCCAGCAGTATCCGGTTAATTTGTAGAGTCTAACTTTCTAAAAGGTTAAGAGTTTTTTATGTTATGACACTATCCACCTGAAATGGAAATTTAATTGGGTGCTCGAGGGATTAAAATGAAACAAAATTTCATCTAAAGATGCAAAACTGAGGAAGAATTAAGTTTCAGGCAACAAAAACTGAAAGTCTGAAAATGCAAGGGTCATTTTTGCCACTCACTCAAAAGTCAAATCTAAAGCCTCTAACTTGGGCCACCGACCAGTGTGTAAAATTTTGAGACCCAATGACCCATACACGTTTTTAACTATGGTTTGTTGAACCTAACCATGGTTAATCCCTTCCCTCTTCCTTTTTAAGCACCCCTATCGAGTACCAAATGGACTAATTCCTAGAGAGAGAAACAACCAAAATCAGTTACAAACAGATTCAACAGAATCACACACAGTGATTTCTGAATAACACGATCATGGCGTTTTACTTGGATGAAGAGGAAGTGTGGAAATGTCCAAATCATCCGTCGAAGCGGCGGAGGACCGGTATCTGCCCCACATGCCTCCGTGAACGCCTCGTTACACTTTGCCCCGAATGTGCCAATACCCGTCCATGCGCCTGTTGTCCAGCTCCAATCGATTCCACATCGTCTTCTTCCTCGTCTTCCTCTTCGTTTTCGCGCTTCCAGTTTTCACGAGGCGGTAGCCTCCGCGACGGTTTCTTGTCGTCTGCCGCCGCAGGGGAAGTAGGCCGCGTGTCGAATCTCATTGAAAGCGAGCCTGCGTTCCGGAAGTCGAGATCTCTGGCGATTCCGTTTCTCCGATCGAGATCGAAGTACGCCGGCGCAGACCGTGATCGACAGTTCGTCAAGGAAGACAAGAAGCCTCTGCCACGGGTAAGCCGGAGCAAAATCAATTTCTGGTCGGTGTTCAGGGTGAGTAAAACCAAAAAATGCGATGTACACGGTGATGGACTGGAGGAGGATTCAAATAAAAGCGATATTTCTGCCGCAACCGATGATTATTCAAGGATGATGAGATCCAGATCAGTAGCTGTTGGAGCCGGTGAAAGCTTCAGTTCGGTCGCCGCGAAGCGTCGGGGATGGTATTTTCCTAGTCCAATGAAGGCTTTCCGGCAATCAAAAACGTCTAAAGTACAATTACACGAACGGTCGCCGATGCATAGAGGCTGACAATCCGCTGCAAAGCACAAGGCAATTACTTAAATTCCACGCTTATTTTAGCATTTATTGGGGTATATGGAAAATAACATGAGTGAGGAAATGAACAGTTGGCAATTTTCTTCACATGAAACAGGGGGGAAATCTAGGATTGTATATGTTTTTAGATTTTTAAAGAATTAATTTGATGGGAATGCAATAATGTTAACTTTGGGTTTGATTGCTTAGGAATAAATAAATTGGAAAGGGCAGCGAAAAGGTACTCTGTGTAACGTGGTTGTTACTTATGCTAGTTGTATGTTTTCACGGATGGAATCTTTGCACACTTTGGAATAATAGGTTATTGATCGAGGAAAAGTTTTTGCACGTAACATCCTTCTTCTGCCATTAACATGATTACGATCTGGGTAAGCTAAATGCACTTTATATTTATATTTTTAATACATGATCTGATTTTATATTTTTTTAATTATTTATATGAATGTTTAGAATCTGATAAGAGAGACACAGAGAATGATTCAGAGAAGTCATGGAGAGGTGGCTACAACCAACTCCTGCTTCATTTGACTTGTGATCCCCACCCACCATATTCAATTACTCCTCCACTCTTTCCATCTTCTTTCAAACCTAATTTTATTACCTTCTTCTAATTGCAAAATAAGTTCTTTTACAATCATTATTGTCCATTAAACTGCCTTTAAGATCATATTAAATTACCATGCATGTGCAATGCAAACAAAACTGCTATTAGAATAACTTGAACAAGCCATTAAACATATACAATGTTGTCAAAAACATACCGACAATTTTTAAGAAAATATATATCACAAAATCAAATTAGGTGAAAGATCTATAAGCCATTCTTGTCATGTCTCATGAGCCTTTTTAACCTCACAATGCATTCTTAGGATACTATTAAACTTTTTGTTTCTTAATAAACAAAACCTCTCATATCTCATTCTAATATTATTAATAGAATGATAAATAAGGATGATGATTCTTACTCGACAATCACTTTACGGATGATAGACATTTACCAACAATTCATTTTGATAGTTGAAAATGACCAAAACTGTTACCCGCTAAAGTAAATGAGGGTTATGACTTTTGTGGGTAAATATTTACCCTGTAAGCGTTTCCTAAAAGGCTCCTAAGTTTGCATTTCCTTTAAGCGTTTCCTACGCGGCTCCCAAGGCAGCCACTTGCGTTCGAGCCAACTCCTTCCATCCCATGTCTGTGGGTTGCTTCAAATCCACAACCAAACACGATTCCGACATGGGATTCAACTCATGTTTATCATCAGTTTCCAGGACAAATTGGTTGTTTGGGTTTTTTTTTTTTTTTTTGCTAAATCTAGTAGACAAGATAATTAGCTATGTTTTGATACAAGAATGTCTATTTTTATTGAATATCAAGCTCTGATTTTGACATATTCGTATTATCGTAAATATGATGATGGTAGATGCAATTCACTAAGCTTGCCTTACATTTGGCACACGTAAATTCTTAATTAGGATAAAAAATCAATCACAATTACATGAAATTCTCAAAGATTAGTCTAATACATTACCTTTTATATATAACAACCCGTATTTAACAGAATAAAATAATAAAAAGAGAAACCGTTAATAAAAAAAAACACCACAAGTAAAAGATACACTGAATAAACGTGTAGATACATTATGATGGGGACAAAGATGAAAAAAAAAATGAAATTCAACTCGTTAAAACCCTGTCTCATATGGTGTCCATGTGGTCAACATATTCTCCCTCTTCACCTGCTAATTATGTTATTCAGCCCCCTTAACTTTCAAAAACTACATTTTAACCCCTACAATTTCCTGATATTATTATATTTTCTTTTGGGATGTTATAGCTTACATTGTTTCACCACAGTTGCTTTGTTAAACCAATGATGTTACAACTATATTTAAATGATTAAAAAAGAATTAAACAAGTCGTATGTGGTCAAACCTTTTAATTTGTAAAAAAACGTGTCGAAAATAGTTGAATAAAATAATTAAAGTTATATTTATAATGAGAATATTAACATGAGCCAAATAATACATCCTTCAAAGTGTTTGTCTATATTATAAATGTATGAATTAATTAAAAAATAAAATAAAAAATGTACCTACAAAATAACACAAAGTAATAAAACAATATGACAACTGTTGTTTGACTTTTTGGGTGTACTAGTAAAAGCAGAAGATGAACACGTAACTTTTAACTATTCAATTGATTCATACCAACGACGAGCCAATAGCTTGCGATCAAACCGACGACAGTCAATATTCCATCACATGATCGTTTAGTTTATCTAACTACAACACGACGTTGCTTGATTGTTTTCTTCTTAGTTTTCCTGTAAAAATTAATGTTTGGCTCTTGATTATGAGTAGGTGAAAAGGGTTTTGGAGTACATAGATGTTTTGAAGCCTAAAATTTCAACCACAAATGTGAATGATAATTATGTTCGAGAATAGTGGTACCTAAAACGAAGGTGATGGCAACTGCTTGCCAACTCGACCTCGCCCTCACAACCAATTATCCGAGTCGAGGATGCAATTTTTATCGGTTATATACTTGTAATTTTGTGATATGCTGATTATATTAATTTTTAATCAAAGCTCATTTTGGATGGGTTGCTACTCTGGAATCTAGATTCAAGGACTACTAACACCCCAATAGCTTGCAACCAAGTTGACTACATTCAGTTCCATCACAAGATTGTTTAGTGTATTTAACTACAACATGAAGTTCATCGATCATTAGTGGTGTTGCTGATTTTAATGTGATTACGATTTATGTGAGATCGACCTGGCGATAAGATAAACATAAGTGAGTTAATGCAGAGTGCACACTTACAAATGTTGTTTTTATCATCTTAGATCACCATAAACTTTGGGATAAGGGGGTCATGCTCCCTTATGAATACCAAGGGTAGGGCCCCTAGCGGGGTCCAAGAGGCATAACCCTTGGCGATTGTTTATTATTTTTTTAGTTCTCACATAAATTTTAGTGTTTGGCTCTTGATTTTGTTTATCAAGGTTGTAGGCGAAAAAACGTTTTTGCAGTATATAGATGTCTTGAAGCCCAACATTTTCAACGACAAATATGAATGAGAATCATGTTCGAGAATAGTATATTTAAAGTGATGTTGATGGCAACTGCTTGCCAACTCAATCTCACCCTCACAACCCCTTATCTTAGTCGAGGATAATTTTTTTTGGTTATATACTTGTAATCTTATGATATATTAATTATATTATTTTTATAATTATATATATATATATATATATACTTCATCCATCTAAAAAATAATTGTTCAAAATAAAAAAGACTCACGGTTTTACGAATACACGATTATTATACTCAGTAAATATAAAACATAGGAAGAAGGAATAATTACTTTAAAAAATAAACAATCATTTTGAAATCGAATTAAAATATAAATATAAAAAAATATTTTAATAGCATTTATTTTTGAGGTTAGATGTGACATTTCATTATTTGGGTTACTCGAGTACCAAGTGGAATTGTAAAGAAAAATGAAGGGGCCCTGGATAACATGTGCAGCGGCCGCCGTGCAGGGACATCACGTGAGGCCATGCCAGCGACCGCACACGTGAACGCGTCCTCTTCTTATTTTGTCCAATCGAATGTTTCTATAGTCAAACAATCTTTCGGATATTGTCCCTTTAACCCCTACTTTTTCTTTATTTACTAAATCATCCTTTAACTTTGTAATCTTTTTTATTATAACCTCCAACCGATATTCTTATAATTATCTAAATTGTTGTGGTTATTTTTCATTATAAAATCATCATTGTTTTTTATGTTAAAAATAAAATAAATAAATTTGTCAAAATGAACGAGTTACAAAGAATCTGGATTGTTTACCAAAATGCTTAGTAGTTGTTTACTTAAGCGCTTATAAACCGTTTATCAAGGTAAATGTTTACCAAGTTGCATTACCAACCAGATGAATATGACAAAAACCAATAATCTTACATGTTAAGACGAAGTCAAAGAGCAAAAATCTTATTCAGTAAGTGTGGACGATGACTCTTATTACGATTAACGCTTACAGGGTAAATTGTTGCATACGATGCCATTATGGTGAACTAAAATCTTACCCGATAAGTAAGTGATATTATTGAATTTTACCAGTAAACGCTTACCGGATAAGTGTTCGGGTAAATGGCTCCTTACCAGGTAAAAGTCAATACTATATGAAGAAGGTCTCACGAACAACAGATTAATCCATACAGACAACTTTATACATATAAATAAACCAACCAAACATCCACTTAAAAATGTTACTAAATGAATCTATTTTGGAATAAATCATGGTTTTCAATTTATTCCACTCATAAATCTTCTGTAACAAGGTGTTACCAAATATAAATTGTACAAGTTGAGAAGCTTTATTTTATAAAAATCCATCTTATTGCTTTATTTTCTTTCCAAATTTCAAGTCATAAAATCATCTTTAATAGAATAGTCTGTACAAACTCGTTTACCAAATGTTACATCAACAAAAAAGTTGCTAAATTGAAACTTTTCGACAAAAAAACCTTTCAAAAACTTGAGCATGGAGAGAAATGGGGTGAAACATAAACGAAGGGTTACAAAAAGCTTTTATACATGTCGTCTTTTAATATTAGCGTAAAAATATTAAATTAATCATGGATCTCGATAGAATCTACTTGAAATTATAATCGATGAGATGCAAGATGACATCCTTGATGCTTGTAAGTTGTAAACGAATACATAATTAACCATAAATGTTCTCTCATCTTATCTCCATCGACTACTTCATGGCTAAATATTGAAGTTATCATTAACTATTGAAATCATATTTGGTAATGGCTAGTGTTATAAAAGTCTCGCCGCAGTAGCTGTTGTGGCGTGCCGCAGCACAAGACTACCCTATGTTCAGGAGGTAGCATGCCATGGCCCAAAAACACATTATTTGATTTTTCTTTTACGTAATTTAAAATTTCAATATTTCCTATTAATTATATGAACAAATTTCTCCTCAAATAAGTTATGCCTTGAAAAAAAAGTGTGGCTATGAAGATATGAGACTTGACCTCACACGATATAAAACCTTGGTCTTCGTAAAACCTTCCTTGGCCATATTTCATGTTATTTATGTTCAATTTATCAGTTATGATGAACATGGATTGACAGTATCGTGATATTAGGTCTTGGTCTTTTAGGGGATGTTTTCATTTGGCATTTCCCATTTATTTCATTACTTTTTCTGTTTTCAAGCCATAGTATTAGTGGGTGGTGTCTTGAGATTGACTTATTGTACAAGAATTTGGCTTAGGTTCAGTTACAAAACCTTTAATAAACTA